TTTGAGTTACTAAGTGTGTATTGTTGTTCTAAACCACTAGATTTGGGTGTAACATGTTACACAGGAATAGATAATCAGTGCAGCCCTATATAGCACCTATTGTTTGGGGTCCTTTACTTGAGAAGAGACAGTCAGGAGCTTCTGATCATAGCCCCTGTAGGTGGTCCAAAAGCCCCAGGTGAGAACAAGACAGGCAGTTCAGTGGCAGCATCAAGGGGAGGGGAGGGTACAACTGAGACGTGGGTACTGAATGTCCCTACACAAGGAGCAGAAAGGCAGTGAATGAACTAGGAGTGTCCCAGGAGATAAGCAGAGAAATGCTTCAAGTGTACCCCCAGTCCATTATAACCTATGAACAGCAGGTGCAGAGAGTGAGTTTCTTAAAAAAATAATTTCCCAGACTTACCCCTGTGTTCATGAAACCCCACCAGCTCCCCAGGGCACTATTCCAATAGAGGATGGAAAATTCACACAGGATGTTACAATTTTACCCCAAAATAACCACTTGGGAAATGAAAGAGTCTGAATATTGGCTCTGGGCCAAGATGGGACTGGACTCCAGGGTCCTGTGATTGAATGCACGGCTTGAGGGGGCAGAAGACCCCCAGGGCTGATGTGGACTTAGAGTCTCTGAGCCCTGATTTCTTCACCTACAAGACTGGGGTGTCAGCATTGTCTTAAACATCACGGGGCTAGGAAGATTAATTTGAGTGAGGCATATAAAGTGCACTCTGCAAATTATAAATTAATTATAAATATAGAAGGCTTTTTTTTTTTTTCATGAGATGTAGCTCTACCCATTCTTAAGGCACTGTGTCAGGGACAACAATGAAGACTGAAACAGGATACAGCACATCAGAAGCAGGGCAGAAACAGAGACTCCATACCCTTACCAGAATCTCAGCCATGTGACCTTGGACAAGTCATTGTCCTTGTTTGTAAAACCAGGAAGTGGAACTGGAACATCTCCAAGGGCCTTTCTAGTCCAAAAGTCTTATGAATCTGTGCCCTGTTCTACTTGGGTAAGTGTCTGGGGAAGATGGGTCAAGTAACATTTCCCATGGAATCACCATGAGCTAGCCAAGATTGCTTCACAACTGTTCTGCTCCTTCTACCACATCCCCAAATATTGGAGTATTGCTTGTTCTATACCTAGAGGATTGAACAACATGATTAATAACATTAAATAAATAGACATTGAGTTTTGTGCCCCACAAGAAGAGAATATACCTTTTTCTCAAATTGGTGATGGAGCATTTATAAGAACTTATCACATACTTTCTTGTCCAGAAAGATAAACTTTTTAAGGAACAAAAGGCAGAAATTATACAAGCCATATTCCAAACCAGAAAATCCAACAAAAACTACACTGGAATAATGAAAACTAGAAAATCAAAAATAGATAGATATAGATAGATAGATAGATAGATAGATAGTAGACAGACAATAACACACTTGAAAACTAAAATATTCTTCCTATTTAGTTTAGAAAATAAATACTAAATCCAACAGAAATTTAGCATATGAGTTATTGAAACTCATCACATCCCATCAAAGCTATATTTGGAGATAAACTCATTGATATAAAGATGACTTCGTTATTAAAATAATAGCTTCCACTTCTGGGATGAAGCATGAATAACGTCAAGGACCATTCCCTAGCGAAACAAGCAAAGCTGGCAAAAACTACTAAAAAAACAAAAACAAACAAACAAAAAAACCACAACCATTTAAAGTCTCTGGGAACTGTCCTAAGAGCATACGACCAATGAAGAAACATCTATTCGAGAAAATCTACTAAGAATACAGTAGGAACAGCAAGCATCTGTGACATTTCAGCCACAAGCATATTTCTCTCCCTCCCCTCTCTGGCTCAGCAGGACAGAAGTTTCCCCTGGGTACGTGTGGCCAAGAAGTCCCAGCTCCCTCTCCCCTTATTGAGGTGAAGGGAAAGGACACCATTCCTCATGCCCTCCAGCTCCAAGTTAAAAAGACTAAATTCCTGGTGAGTGGGGTGGAGAGGTGGGGCTTCCTTCCTTCCAGCCCCTCCTAGGCAGGACAGGCCTAGAAGACTGGACCCCCAGCTCCCCTCCTACAGGCTGGCTCCTAAGGCACAGTTTCCCCAGGAGAGGCAAGCTGAGATGATGGGAGGCACCCAGGGCTAGAGCTCAGGGAGTGCCCAGGAGAGAAGGCAGTGTGTGGGAAAGAGCTCCCAAGCACCCACAGAAGAAGGACCCGAGTGTAGTAAAACAGAATGTGGGAAGTTCAAGCCTAACGGCACTCCTGAAAACAATAGCTCCTCTTAATTTAGAGCAACCAGCTAAACTGAAAGCTAGCTGGTTCACCAGATAGAACCAGGGAAAGAGACAGCCAAGAACCATCCTCCTGGGCTCCAAACCATCCTCAAAGCCTGCCTGAACTTAATTGGATCAGACCAGGGAACAATTTTTATGCCAGGGCATTCTTGAAAACAATTGAGCAATCAGCCAGGGATTAGCGGAAAGGGGCTGGGTCTATTACCCAATGAGGTAGACAACAAGGAAACCAGAACAGACAAAGAGGACCCTGTGAAGACCACTGCCATCCCAGGGTGGTGGGGCTCTGCCCAAGGCTGTACTCTCAGAGGATAAAGAATGTTCCAAAATTGATTAGATGGTGGATGCCCAACTTGATGACTATACTAAAAACAACTGAGTTGTACACTTCGAATGAATGGACTATATGATAGGTGAATTACATCTCAACAAAATTCTTCATTAAAAAAGATAGTATAATTATCGTGATGAGCACCGAGAAATGTATAGAATTGCTGAATCAGTCTATTGCACACCTGAAACAAATGTAACACTGTATCTTAATTATACTTGAACTTTAGAATTTTTTAATAAAATAAATTTTTAAAAAGATACAGAAAATAAATGACCTACATAGTCATTTTTCATATTATTTCAAAGAACCCAGTCTTAAGAAAGAAATAATACCAAAAAAATGAAACTAAATGACCTGGATAATAGAAAAGACCAAGGGATTAACTAATACATTTATTTTTTGGACACTTAGCTACTCTCGTTTCTCTTTACAACAGTCTGGATTTCTGCAAAACGCTTCCAAGTGCTCCCAAGAAGACCCTCATTTCAGAAGACCTCCTTTTATTTGACCCTTTGGCCTTTGAATGAAAAGAGAATTTTCACACAATACTCCCCGGAGAGCCTGTTCCCTCAGGTCCCTGCTGAGGTTTCTTCCTCTGAGTAATTCCCCAGCAGGTACCCCAAGGGCGGGCTGCCCGTCTTGGGGTTTGCTGTTCCTCCATCAATATGGCCCATACCTAGATGCATCGCACCTGCCGCCCCCCAGACAGCCAGGGAGGAGGCGGTGCTCCACTCCGAAGGCTTCTACTCAGATCCTCAGCCCTGGGAAGGAAGCTCATTTGCCCGGAGATCATCTGGACTCGGCCACCACCACCACGCACTATGTGATCAGAGGGACGGGGAAGCTAGCCACCTGAAGAAGACATCCTTCCATTCAGGAACTTTGGGCCTGGGAGGCTCTGCCACCTCCTAGGCAGGTGACCCAGGTAGATCACTTGGTCTCTCAGAGCCAGGGTCACCTCACCTATGCAATGGGTGCATGAGAAGCACATGAAATATTGGACGTGCGGTGCTTGGCATTTAGTTTCTGTCTCCCTCAGCCATCATGGGCCAAGAGCTCCCGCCAAGCTCCTGTGCTTCAGATGGCCTCACTGCCTCACTGCCACACGTGAGGGGTTGGGGCCGGTCTCAGAGGAGCTCCCACCACTCCAAGTAAAAGCTGCTTAATCTGACTTAAACTCCAATTGAATCAAAGGTGGGTAACCCCAAAAGTAACAGCCACATCCAATGAGATGAGTCAGGACCATTGGGCCCCTGCCTTTTTGGTCTGCTGTCTGCAGAATGGAGCCTTCCCCTTCCCCATAGCTGGGCTGGTGAAAGGTGACAGAACCTGGGCACCAGATGTCCTCGACAAAACCTAATGTCCCCTGGGGTTTGCAAACACAGCATCTGGGAGTCTTCTCTGAAAGCCCAAACACCCAGCCATGTCTCTTCCTCAGCATTCCACATACAAAATATTTGGAAATGAAATCATGACTCTTTTTCCCCACATTAGGGAGTAGGGCTGGCGGAAAACAACCCCATGTCCAGTCCCATCGTCACTCCCCACATGACACTGCCTTGCTCAGCAAGAAACCAGCACAAGACCGCTCTCTCCAGACTGAGCAGGGGACCCCAGAGGCCTTCCCAGAGTCCACCCAGAGATGCTGCTGGCAACGTCCCCAGTGCCCGGGGACAACGTGAGTAAGGGGGAGGAAGTGGGGGTCAAGGTGGAGCAGGGACCACCCAAGAGGCCACATGTCCTTCTTCCAGTGGCAGGTGGACACCGGGCTCTCAAACCAGGCCACTAGACAGTATCCAAGGCAGCTACTCTCCAGGGACATCTGGTTCCCATTCAAGGTGGGTTAGTCCTACCATCAACCGAATTTTCTCTCTATGCCCGTGTGAAAGGACAAGGTTTCAGGCTCATACCAGAGTCTGGCCCATCCACAACCAGAGATGGAGAAGGGACCTTTGGTACTGCACCTCCGAACTGGGGCAAAAGACAGTCTTTTGGGGTAAAAATGTGCCAGAATGTTGTACGGGAAGGTAAGCTCTCAGTAGGTTGCCAACTCTTTGGCCTTCTGACTCTTCTGATTTCTGCTCTGGGCCCGATCGCTGGAGGCTCCTCCCTCTTCAGACCCTGTCATGGGCTGAGTTGTGTCCCTCAAAAAGATAACGTTGAAATCCTGACTCTTGGTCTCTGGGAATGTGGCCTTACCTGGCAATAGGGTCTTTGCGGCTGTAACAGATGACATTAAGATGAAGAGTAGGGTAGGCCCATCATCCCATGTGACTGGTCTAGAAGAGGAGGGTGGGACACAGAGACACACAGGGAGGACACCATGTGACAATGAAATAGAAACACCAGCTGCAGGCCAGGGATGGCGGGCCATCACCAGGAACTAGGGAGAGGCAAGGAAGGTTCTACCTGGTGGAGAGGGAGAGGCAGAGGCTGGAGGGAGCACAGCCCTGCACGCAGCTTCATTTCTGACTCCTGGCCTCCAGGACTATAAGAGAAAGGACTTCTGTTGTTTTAAGCATCCGCTTTGGGCAGCTTTGTCATGGCCAATACAGGCCCCAAACTCTGAAGTCTAGCCCCCCCCCCACCTCTATCCACATCCCATGGGTGCTGGTAGACTTGAGAATCCTGCTGGAGCAGGAGGCCACTTGGGGTGGTGGGGGGGAGGCCCAAGGGTATGCTGGGCACATAGAGAGGGTGGGCACAAGGAGAAGGACAAGGGACGTGCTATCTCCTGACGGGGCCCCCACCTTGGGAGGGATCCAGGGAGGGTGGAAGCCGGTGAGCATGGGAGGTCTCAGATCCTGTCCAGCCATGGTCTCTGAAATGGCTGGGCCTAGAATAGAATCAAGTCTCCTCTCTGCTTTTTTGAAAACCCTGGAGTTCCTGCCAACAGAAAAAAAAAAAAAGAAGAAGATGATGATGATGATGATGAAAGCCCACAACACCTCTATTTCCCACCTCCGCATGTATTTGAGAACCCCGGGGTCCTGCAGATGACTACCCCACCCTCCCAGTAGAGCTCACACAGGGCTCAGCAGGACCTTCTCATTTGGCCAGAGCCATGAACCTCTGAGTCAAGAGATTTGCAGTTATTTCTACTTTCCAGCAGCAGGAAGGAAAAAAACAAGTTGGATCTGAAAAGCAGAGGGAGAATTAAGAATGTACCTCGGTCCCAGGCATCCTTTTTTTTTTTTTTTTTTAACCACTAACTGGGCAATGAATAATTTATAGCCACGCATGTTTGTGGGGGTATAAAACTGTTGACAAGTCAAGAAAAGCCTCTTAGCAGCCTGATGGAGCAATCCATCTTCAAGACACAGGTTTCAAATGCATAGTTTGTGAAGATGCTGGTAGAGGTTGTTTCCCTTCTTTCTTGGTTTTTTTTCTTTTTTTATCTATATGGAAATTGGTGGGTGCTGAAATATGCTTCACTTCAGCACGAACTTGGGCTGAATGATATCCCAGGCAAGAATTAAATCATCGCTTCATAGAGCAAGAAATAAACACCCAAGCAAGGCAGAGCCCCCCGGCACGCAGAGGGAGAGCGGGAGACTTCCAGAAAGTTGAGCGAGCTGTTGCTGTTCCAGGCAGGGCGCCATGCAGAGCTCAGGCTCAGCCTCACCAGACGAGGGGTGACCAGATCCAGCGAACGTTCCTTCAGGAAGCCCCCAGCAAAGCAGGGCTGACTGCACAAACCGAAGCTTCCCGTCTCTGAAGAGCAGCATCCTCCTGGAGTCCTCCCAGATCCGGGCGGCGCCGTGCGGATGTCGTGACGACAGTGGCTGCCTTGAAGCTAATGAGGCCGAGAACCCCAGCAGCTGCAGGGTCAAGGTTGCATCAAGCACGCACCATGTGCCAGCGCCCAAGAGCCTCTTCCTCAGTCTGCAGGTCGGCCCTCTGGCCGGTGCTGCCTGAGCAGTCTGGTCCCTCTGTGGCTCCCCTCCGTGCCAGGAGGGCTCCTTGGGAACCGGAGCCTGGGGAGTTCTTGTACACCTGTTAAAGGTCACACAGGTACAAGGTGGCAGAGCCTGCCTTTGACCCCGTCTCACCCACCTGCCTATTCACCTCCTTGCTCCTACAGAGACTGACTTGCTGTCCCTTCCGTTCTCATGCCCTCAACGGCCCCCCACCTTCTCTGACCAAAGTTAGGGCAGCAGGCTGAGACCCAAGTGTAGACCACAGCCACATGGCTCCCCTGGGGACAGGGTAGGGGAGGTCGATGCCAATCACCAGAACTGTGTTAGTTACCCTCTGCTTCGTAACAAATGACTCCCAGACCCGGCAGATCCGAAACAACAAACATCAACTACCTCATGGTTTCTGTACAGCAAAGCTTCAGGGACAGCTACCTGAGTCCCGGGGCTCGGGATCTCTCACAAGTCTGGAACCAAGGCGTCTGCTGGGGCTGCTGTCATTTCAAGGTTCAACTCACCCTCGTGGCTGCTGGCGAGATTCTGCCCCTCACAGGTTGCTGGACTCTTGGTCTTTGTTCCTCACGGGCTGTTGGCTGGGGACGTCCCTCTGGTCTTGGCTACATGGGCTTCTCCACATGGCAGCTCACGACATGGCAACTGGCTTTCCTCAGAGCGAGGAAGGGAGCAAGAGAGATGAGCATAACAGAAGCCAGAGTCTTCTGGAAACGTGAGCTCAGAGTGACACCCCATCTTATATCAGAAGCAAGTCACTGTTTCCAGTCCACACTCAAGGGGACAGCATCCCATGAGGCATGAGTAACCTGGAGGCTGGGATCCTGGGCAGCCATCTTAGAAGCTTAGGAGAACCGTAATCAACCGTAATTAGTAATCAACCGTATTAGTTATTTAGTGTTGTGTAACAAATTACCCTGAAGCTTAGCGGCGTAAAGTGACAATAATCACTTCCTATTTCTCACACTTTCTGTGGTCGGGAATGCAGGAGCAGCGTGGATGGGCAGTTCTGCCTTGGGGTTTCTCAGGGGACTGCAGGTGGACGTCAGGGAGGGTCTGACAGGGACTGGAGGATCCACTTCCACGTGGCCAGCCCACGTGGCTGGCAAATAAGTTGGTGCTGGTGGCTGGCGGGGCCATCAGATCCTCCCCACATGGGCCTCCACTGGGGCTGTCTGAGGGTCCTCACAGTATGGTGGCCGGCCTGCCCACCACGTACCATCTAGGAGACCACACAGAAGCTACAGAATGCTTTTTCAGCCCAGCCCCGGAAGCCACAGAGTGCTGCTTCGGCAGTATTCCCCCGGCCACGAGGTCAGCCCTGCTCGGTGGTGAAGGCAAGAATACTGGATGCAAGATTCTCTAGGCGCCATCTTGGACCAACCTCCGCACCAACTAGGCAAGCCCACCATAGGACGGCATTGCAGCACTGGAGCCGTGCTGAGGGGGCACTGAGCCCACAGCCCAGACTCATCGCATGCCATAGCACCCCTGAACGTGAGTGGCCCTTTTGGGCCCATACCTTTGTGACCCTCCCTCTCCTTGTCATGTTCTTCTCCCACTGGGAGCTCCTATACAACCTCCAAAGCCCAGTTCAGATGTTACCTCCTCCACAAAGCCTTTCTTTATTCCTCACCCTGGTCCCCTCACCCACCACACCCACAACATGGCTGTATCCTTCTGTGGGCCCCTACACAGCTTTTGACACCCTCTATTATCCCCTGCCCCTCGGCCCTGTCCCACAGTTAGCAGTGGGTCCCTTTACACACATGCCCTGGGGTGAGCGCCTTCCCAGAGCCCCTCCCTCAGGCCCCATCCTGTGGAGACACCTGGAAACATCCCTTGGCCCTTGCTGGAGACAGCCCTGGGCTGCCATCCCAGCTCCGGGAAGTAGACGGCTCCATCCCCGCTCTTCATCCCCAGATTCCATGCCTGTAGCCTGATGCCCAGCAGCCTCGCTCTCCACTGCTGGGTCCCTCGTAAACTTGGCCGCCAACGCTCCACCAAAACTCAGCACAGGCTCCGACCCAGGGCCAGGTCCTCACGCGGACAGGCGAGAGGTCGAAGGCAGGCCTGACTGCGTGACAGACAGGCGTGTTTCAAACCGGAGGCCTTCCTGCTGCCCGGTGGGAAGAGCTGCCTGCAGCCTCCTGGCGGCCGTGACCCGCTGAAGGCACAGGTGCGCTCAAGGATGCGCTGCACCTGGGTGTGGGCCCCCACCTGAGCAGCTCCGCAACCGCGACAGGGCAGGAGGCTTGGTCCCCTGCCGTCCTCCCTTCCTCTCCTTCACCTGATGGACAGGAGGCCGTGAGCCCAATAACACAGCAGTTAAACTGGAGGGGCCCTTCCCTAAGGGCTTGTGTGGAGGGTATCCCCCCACCCCACGGAGAACAAATACATCCCAGGCTGGGACGCCGAGTAGCCCAAGGGGCAGGCGAGATGGAGCCAGAACAGAGTAGGGAGAAGCTGGGGCGGAAAGGGAACGAGGGGCTGGGCTGGACCCAAGGGGTTTCCTTCCGAAGGCAGCCCTCTAGGGGTTCCCCCATGAGACACTCTGGTGGTGCTCCTGATTTGGAGTCCTCAACTCCCAGAGACCTGAGATCTGGTTAATCTAGGGGGATGTCATTTTTGTGTTAAACCCTTGCCTTGGGGCGCCTGGGTGGCTCAGTCAATTGAGCATCTGCCTTCAGCTCAGGTCGTGATCTCAGGGTCCTGGGATCGAGCCCCGCATTGGGCTCCCGGCTCAGCAGGGAGTCTGCATAAGGATTCTCTCCCTCTCCCTCTGTCCCCCCAACTCATGCCCTCTATCAAATAGATAAAATCTTTGGGGGAAAAAAGAAAAAGCCCTTGCCAGTCATTTCGATGCAAATCAGTTTGGAAAGCCCTGACTCAGAAGGTGAAGTGACTGTCCACCCTGATCTTCTGATACAACCTCCATTCCCTAAACTGAGCAACGACGGCCACTTGTACTAAAACGGGCATCGTTCCAAGGTTCTACCTACTCAGTCCTTGATGTTAATTAATTCACATATTATGAATCTGTTGCCCAATCCCATGATCCAGTTCCGGGTTCTGCAACATCTCACTCTGCACCAAGGGTTTCTTGGTTGTTGAAAAGAAGATGGAGAAAGCGGCTTCGAAAGAGTTCCAAAGTGAGCCATTAGCATGGCTTCTTCCAAAATGGATTTACATTGATTAGATTCATCGTTTCCTCTCATTTTTCTCATGTTTAATGGCTTCAGAGACTAAGGAACAAGCCAGAGAATTGGGCCTGAACATCCAATCTCCTGTTAGATCCAGCAGCCTGTGCCCGGAGGCCTGGCTATGTCTGGCGCCCTTGCTGGTCCCGGTCGTATCTGAAGAGCCGCTATGGTTCTCTGCTCTGGACCAGCATCTGCATGAGGGCGAGGGCCGAGTCTAGGTCTCCTTACCATTATGCTTCTCTGCTTGGCACCGTGCCTGGCACACAGGAGACCCTCAGGAGGAAGACCCCTGGTGAAACGTGCCCGGGGCCCCTGGACACTAGCTCCCCGCCCACTGAGATCAAAACCTGAGCCGAAGGCAGATGCCAGATCTCGGGTCTCTGGGGTCTGAGGACCCCAAATCAGGAGCACCAGCACACCTGCCGAGGCATGAAGCCAGCTGGGGGCCCATCCATTCTGCAGTGGGGTTCATCCTCATGGTCACAGCTTGGGGCAGCCCCTGAAAGGCCCAGAAAGGAAAAGGCAACCTTAGCCCAAAGGGAAAGTCAGGGCAGATGTCCTTCGGCCAAGCTCACGGCACACTCCAAGAGAGACGGAGATCTCTACCGTGGCCCTACAGACTGTGACCCCAAAGTGAGCCGGCCACATCCACCCATCCCTCCCAGGAAAGGCCCAGCCCACCTGTCTGCCCACGTCTCTCTCCAGAACTCTCCAGACCCTGCCAGCCGGGCCCTTGGCTTCTTGCGATGTACATCCCGAGAGAAGAGAAGCTTCTGCATTCCTGCAGAGCAAGCACCTTGTGGGGATGCCAGGCGCGAGAGGACACCCGCCCCAGCCGTGCTGACGGGGAGTGGCAGTCAACAACGTCCCCACAGCGGCCACCCGGCTGAGCTGCCCTGCCCCCACTGTCTCTTCTTGGAGCTCCTCAGATGAAAACCCCACGTCCGGGGTGGAAAAGCCTCTTAGGAGGTTAAGAGCAAGTGGATAGAGCAGTAAACGTACCGATTTAATCCTTCGAGGGTGGCTAACAGGCTGCTGTTTACCAAAGTCTTCGCAGATAATTACGAACCGGTAATTACGAAAAGCTGCTGATCGCAGCTGCCCCCGAAACGACCACAGCCCCCGTCTACTTTGCCAAGCTACGTAAATGGGCTCATTCCTCGAGAAATTCCCCACAAGTCGCTTTCTTGGAAGGACGCCAGGCAAGAATTCCCACGGCGCTCTCCTCTCGCTCCCTCCCTGGCCGCTGTCTGCCTCCACCATCTCCGGAAAGCTCCCTGAGTTCTCCCCAGAGAAACACCGCAATGACTTTAACCCGGCTTCTCACGTGGCCTCTCTCCCGTCTTTGTCTCCAGTTAGCAGACAGGAGGCAGGGTGTCACCCGCTCTAGAGGCCCCGCTCTGGGACAAGCCCGGAAGAAGGGGCTCAGACCCGAGCTGTCTGGGAAGGGCAGGGCGGGCACGCTGAGGCTGACAGCAAAGTGGCCCTAAGGGGACGCTGCTCACTGGGCCAAGAAGTACAAGAAGCTTGACCTCAAAAGCATTGTCAAGTCTTGCAGATTTCACTGAAATGTTCACGGAGACGTAAAGGAGGAGATGACTCTGAACCTGTCGGGGG